TTGGTCATGCGAATATGCTTGGCCTATCTTGTCCAACACGGAAGCCACTACCCATGGGTGACATTTGAAACGAGGCAGTGTTATTGAGGAATGACCTTTGAGTTCTAGTCAGTTAACTTCCTTTGGCTCTGAAGAGCTCCCCGGGCTTGTGACTACCACCTTGGATGTTCCTGGAGGATGAACTGATGACCGTGAAGAGGCTGATAAAGTGTGTGATAGGCTCCTGTGTCCAGGAGCTGTGCTCAGAGAACAAAGATACTCACCCCCCCCCAACTTATAATCGGGAAAACTGGAGCTTGAAGAGATTCCAGTATGCCTAAGGTCATATAGCTAATAAGTGACAAAGCTATAGTCCAGGTCAGTTGACTCCTGAGTACTTTACCTAGCATGTGTGAGGTCTCGGGTTCAATTCTTAGCACTGTAAAATGTATGATAAGGGGGAAATGTTGATAATTATCAGAGACTGGGTATATTCTGGTGCTAGCAGGCTGGGTCCTGCCTTTAACAAATATCTCTCAGCCTGTTGGGCACAACATTCCCATGCCCTTATCTCCCACAGCCTTGGCTGGGATCTTGGCAGCTTCCCATTCAGTTCTTGGAAACCGGACAAATGACCTTAATTTCAGCCATGTTACCCGCCCCTCATGCCCCATTTCCAGACTGGCTCCAAGGTCTGTTGGCATCCTCTTTGAGTGTTAACCCCCAAAGTTCTCAGTGTCGACCATGTTCTTGTTGCTTGCCCTTCTAACACACCCCCTCATCGAGACCCTCCCCTCCATGAAGGGTTCCAGTAGTTTTTGGCGAAAGGCCAAGTTCTAGACCTTGCTCAAGGTCCTGGTCATACCCTATACCTATGTGATTTGTGCAAGGCATCTAAAACGCCTTTCCTGTAAAACAAGCCACAAAATTGCACCTGTCTCAGAAGCTGTGGCCAGGCAGGATGAGGTAACACACCCGAAGCACCACACTGGTTCCAGGCACAGAGTAAGCCCTCTCAAGTGTTGTCTACGATGTAGTGACCAAGTTGCCTCATGAAGTTCCGGTTTGATGGTTAATGGATGACCCAGTCCCCCAAATGTCCTTCATTAAGACCCTCTTACTTTGGCGTACTTTACATCTGTTTCTTCTGCTCGAAATGTGTTCCTTCTCCCTCTTCACCAGCTCTTTTTGTCTGGTTGGTTGGTTTGAGATACCATTGCACTGTGTAGCCCAGGGCTTTCCTTGGATTTGTAAATATTAACAGAACATTACTATTTCCCCAGATGACCTGGGACCTCTGCTCCACACTCTCAAGTCTGTGACGATGGCGTCTTCACCAACTCTCCCTCTGTCTTTCCATTGGTTTAGAGCCACCTTCTCTGGGAAACCCTGCTGTCTGTTGTCTGTCAGAATAGGTTCACACGGAACTGTAACAAGTCAATGCACAGGGTAGACACAAATGTATGAGCTACAATTATACAAATCTAAAGCCAGGTGACATTAAATCCCAGCTTCATGCAGTTTGTTGGTCTTCTGTTCCCATGGGTTTTACATCTGAGGAGTCAACGGCTATGAATAGAAGATGCCAGAAAAAAAATCTCAGTCTATCTTCTGAACATGTAAAAACTTTTACCTGTCATTTTCTATAAATAAAAATATATAACAACTATCAATGTATCATTTTTATTGACTTAAAGTATATATGCTTTCAGCTTAACAGAATTGTTTTAATAACTTTGTAAGTTGAAAATGCATTTAACATCTCACGAAACCCATTGTAAAGTGGGAAACTGTTACTCAAACCATCTTAGGTCAGGGATCATCTGTGGACAGGGTCAGATGCAAAAGCTGTGCCATTCCAAGCATGGTTGGATTTTAGTGTTTAGAGAACTGTTTTGAAAGCTAGAGTGACTCATAACTTCTGTTTACACTATTGCCCCTGATGGCGTTATTTTGGCTATCAACCACCAAGGCCCACTAGCTCAGCCTTAAATCACAAGCATGCATTTAGGGCTTGTGCTTCATATAATGCTGATACTTCATACTTCCAACCAGGGATGAAGAGCAGTCTGAAACTATTAATGAATGGCGGGAAAATGGTGAAGAGCAGGAACACACTGGGGCAGGGCCTTAGACTGTGTTATGGACATTGGAGGAAGGAAAGGGTCTGTGAAAACCTGAGTCATGGCTAGGAAACCACTTGCAAGTGCAGAATGCCAAACTCAGGGTAGAGAGCAGGGACCCCCCGCTCCACCGTGTGTGTGTGTGTGTGTGTGTGTGTGTGTGTGTGTGAGAGAGAGAGAGAGAGAGAGAG